GAGTGAGTGAGTGAGTGTGTGTGATGTGCATATTATTTTTCTGGCATAGAAAAAAATAGAAAAAATAGATAGAAATATTGTAGTGTACTATAATATATATATATAGAAAAATTGTGGAAAATTAGACAATATAGTTGTAGAAAATAATATTGAAGAAATATATTTAAATCTTCATAGTTAAAAGGATTGATTTTATTAGTGCTATGAATTTTTTGGTATATATATACATATATGAATTTTGATATATTGACATTATTAGTGTGACATGAATTTTCATAAATTTATATACACCAATGTTGATATATATCCTAATATCCTGAGCTCCACTCCAAACCCTAACCAAGGCGTAAATAATAACCCTAAATTCCATAGTATATATATTTGAATCTTCATAATTAGTGTGACATGAATTTTGATATATTGACATTATTAGTGCGACATGAATTTTGATATATTTATATACACGTACCAATGTTGATATATATCTGAAGTAGGTGAATATAATTCTCCATCACCACGGATACCTGAACCCATCGATCAATTCAAAGTTCATGAATTAACTATAGACATTTGTCGGGACATCACCCTACCTAGCCTTATGAGAGACTGCCCACGGCCAGATGATGATAGCCATACCGAAGAGGAGCCCTGTGAGCAAACTCCCGTCTCCCCCCACCCACAGAACAATGAAAGTTGCCTAGGTTTGTATTACCTTATAGATGTCTATCAATATAATCAATTCACACTATGTTACTTTTCTAACAATATGAATGTATGAAAACTTTGTAGTATCATTGCCAAGTAGAGCGAGGAAGTCGAGGCCTCAAACTCCTGGAATTTTACTTAACAAAATGTGCAAATCACTGGGAGGATTAAGAATGCACATCTCTGTTGCCGAGGGGAACAGAAGGCCACATGATCCAATGCAAGCTGCCAAGTTTGCCTCAGAGACAGGTGTAGTAGTTAGGCATCAAATACCAATTTTGACGCATTGGAAACATTACAAGAAGCCCTCAGGTATCGTCCATTACAAAAATTTTATAGAGAGGCTAACTGTATGTATGGGTATCCCCTCTTGACATTCAACTCTGCTTTGAGCAACTTTAACGGATTTACTTTTCATTCACACTACTGCGTGCAGTCAAGGCTGGACATTAACAAGGCTCACCCACCAACACAAGAAGCTTGCTGGAATGTATTGCAGTGTGGGGTACGGCAGGCACACTACAGGTTGAAGCAAACCTACTTCAATGGCGTCCCTGCTGATCAAATCCGTATGACCTCTCCTATCCCGTCCATGATCGATGCACAGTGGTGTGAACTTATCGAGATTTGGCCTAGTGCTAAGAACAAGGTGTGTGTGTGAACCCATCGATTTCCTGTCTAGTCTTGCTATGGTCTACTTGTTCTGCAGTCTAACACAAATGAAGCTATAGAAAACATCTGAGACAAACAGGCTAAACTATGCAAAAGTGAAGTACCACCAGTCTATAGGATCTCGCTCCTATGTTGTCCAGCTGCAAACATTTATAAGTGATGGTTGTGTTTTATTGTTACTCTTGCCTTCGTATAAATATAAATAGAAACTCATGTGCAATGTGAATAGAGAGAGAATAAGAGGAAGACCGCAGAACACGATCAAGGACTTGATGAACAACATGATGATTCAGGACTTGAACAACATGGTCGACCTGATAAAGATCTTAATGCTGTGGAAGTCTTCAAGGACTTCCATACCAGTACGAAAAGGGCCTGAGCGATGCTGCAAGAGCATGAGTTGTAAGTATCTTTATTTACTTTCCTTGAAATCTACTGAAATCATTGCCATAAAAGAAGGAAACACAGCAGGAGCCTAATGTGGCAACATCATTTAATTTTGTAGTTGCAATTTTACACCAATTAATATGGTACATGTACATTGTGCTTATGTAATCTCTATTGACACTAGGCTACAAAAGACCTATGCATTGTGCTTATGTAATCTCTATCAGCAGCAGGCTGAGGAAGTCCTATGCATTACTTGTTATGAATTAATCTCTTGGATTTTCAATTGAAGTCCTCTTCCACTATCTGTAACCTAATGTTTTACTGATTGAATTTCATAGGAAGCTATGGAAGCTATGCAAGCAGAACCTATTATTGATGGACAGCATCCAATGACTAGTGCTGATGTTGTTTCCAAGGTCCTCTACCTCTCCTAGGGCAAGCCCCCCTCCTAGGCAAGCGGCAAAAACCTTTTTTTAAGAATGTTGGTATCCTGACAAGCTCTACCAGAGCAGAGACATCGGCGGACATAACGCTTTGGGAATAGCTTGCTGGTGAATAGGAAAGTTTCGCTGTCCTTGTCGAACTAGTGGATGAACTAAAGAGGAAGACAGAAAAGTCTGAAAGGGTGTTTGAGGAATTCAAGAAACAGCAACAGGAGGAGTACAATAGGCTCTGTGAGAAAGTCATGCGCTTAAGCTCTCCTGGTAATTAACTCTCAGTCTTCAACTCCTGTGGCTTGATGCGGTGAACATTTGTGGTCTGTTGTGTGGACTCATGTGATGGTTTGTGGTGGTGATACTCTGTTAGTGGCTTGCTGCTGACGTGTGAAATATTAATTGTTGGTATTTTATTGCCAGCTTGAATAATTATGTAGTCAATCTGTGCAGTAGTTATGATCTTGAATTACTTTTCTGATGTAATTAGTCCTACACGCGGTAGAACTAGGATAGGCCACATGATCAAATAAAAATGTGACACGTGGACCATCCAGTGCATGACACATGAATTGGCCAGGGCTCGACATGTGGACTATTAAAAATTCGACACGTGGAAGAAAATCGTCATGCCACGTGGATGTATAAAAATACGACACGTGGATGGGCAGCACCATGATGCGTGGTCAAATAAGAAACGGACACGTGGACCAATAAAAATACGACACATGGTCCAATGAAGAAGTGACACATGATCCGACGGCAACACGACACGTGTGCCAATAGAAAACTGACACGTGGAACAACAGGGACCCGACACGTGGTTCGGTAAGAACTTGAAACATGCAAGAACCAAAGATGGCCATGTTGTGCAATAAGAAGATGACACGTACCTGAACCATCTCCAATGCAACCGACTATAGCATGTACACGTGGGCTATACCATGTACACGTGGAAAGCATCTCCAATAGAAGCGCCAACCAGCATGGCAGTCCCCTACCACGCATGCCAAAACAGTCCTATGACGATCTGTTTTTCATCACAGATCAAGCCACTTCTATGACAATATTTTCGGATTGGTCATAGAATTTCAACTATGACGCGACTTCTATGACAAATCATTTTTTGTCATAAATTCGTTATAAAACTGAAGTTATGACAAATTTGGCTCCTTCAGTGATGAAAGTTGTTCGTCATAGAAGTGGATATTCCTAGTAGTGTGTCGAGCTCAACCAGAGCTTGGCTCGAGCAGCTCGAGCCCGGCAGCATCCGCTGCTAGGGCGACCTCCGCTCCGTCTTTGTCGGTCACTTCTAGGGTACGTACACTCGGCCTGGGAACTCATGGGACCTCCGCAACTGCAAAAAGAGAGCCGACGAGACCCTCCGAGAGTACATCTAGTGCTTCTCCAAGAAGCGCAATGAGCTCCCCAGCATCATCGACGCTGACATGATCAACGCCTTCATCTACGGCACGACCTATGAGGCGCTCGTCCACGCGCTCGGCCGTGAGGCCCCACGCACGACGCGGGAGCTCCTAGACGTTGCCACCCAGTACGCCACCGGCGAGGAGACTGTCTAGGCCAACTTCAGCAGCAAGGCCAAGGCCACCGGCCACCTCAGCGGTGGGGACGGCAGCGATGACCCAACGTCGCCGCGATAAGAGGAACAAGGACTGGAAGCACCATAAGGAGGAGATGGTGGCCGAGGCCGACCGCGCTGCCAGGCCTCAGCCCCACGGGGGCGCCGCGCGCCCCGAGCACTTCGAGAAGGCGCTCGAAGCCCCTTGCCCATTCCACAGGGGGCAGGCAAAGCACCTCCTCAAGGACTGCACCACCATCAGGGGCTACATCTACTAACTTCGGACCCTTATGCCATGCTTTTTTGTCGCAATGACAAGATATGGTTGCAACAGAGGGTGTTGTCGCAACCATGTGCACTTTCGGTTGCGATAGATGAGATTTTTGCCATGCAAATTGTTTCGTGGCCTTAAGTATGGAGACCATTGCGAAAAGTAAGTATTATCGCAACCAATTGTAGAACGGTTGCTATAAGTGATCACTGTTGCCACGATTTGATTTGCGTTGCGGGCAGTTTTATTGGCGTTGCAATACTAAGATGATATTGCAACTCTTTAGTTGATGGTTGCAATAGCGTGTCTATGTTGCAACGAATATGAGTCGTTGTATGTAATGGTCGCTTGCGTTGCAAAAAAAAAGTTGTACATATAGTAACGAAAAAATAAATCGTGGCAATCAGTAAGGTTCAAGAGCACAACGCTTATAGGAAAAAAAATTAAAAAAAATGTATAACCAGGTTTCAAACTTGAGACCTTTGACTCTCAAGGAAAGCTACTCACTACACCGTAATTGTGTTCCTATCATTAGTAGCCACAGAACGTTATACAAATTAATAGCGTATGTACTAGCGTACGTTGCAACAAATATGTTTTATTGTATGTAATAGTCGCTTGCATTGCAAAAGGTTGTACATATAGCAAAAAAAAACTAAATCGTTGCAAAAGCTAAGTTTGTACTGCAATAATACTTGGCATGTTTGGAAGAGCTCCAAGCTAACGAAGGGTTGTTACTTGTGCAAGCTAGCAAACATTATTTAAAAAAAAAGCAAAAGTACAGAAGCATATACAACCAAGCCATCTCATGGAATTGAAAAAAAATCTTCAAAGATTTAAAAAAACTACAAAAGAACAGGACTAAAAAGTTTACTCCCAAACATGTATTTATCATAACAATAATAAATCATATTACAATAACTTCAAAGCAAATCTAGGCTTGTTGACGTCACAAATTGAGTGCTTGACAAGGCCATGGTTCCAGATTCCCCATCTTGGAAGTGAAGAACTCAATTCCCTAAAACAAAGAGCATGACAAATAATTAGATTAGAAGACAATAAATTGCATCTGGTTCATCATGTATGTATCGAGGCACATGCGATAGGTAGCACACTGGTACCTAAAGATTGCAAAACATATAATAGAGACGACTCTTATATTTGCTACAGCTCTAGCCTTTCTTTATGACATTCCAGAGACAAAATAATTGCATATAAATAGTCTGCAGAATGCTAAGAGATTGTAGGACTAGAAAAGCATAATCCCAAACAACTCAAATGGACGCAGAAGTCTAAGCAAACAAAAAAAAATGTTCTATTTTCAATTGCAGTTCACAAAACATGAGCTACATAAATTCCCACCACTCCCAGAATCTGTAAAACTACAGGAGGTAGCACCCACCTTAGCAGCAGATTGGAAGTCACTTATTGTCATGTCCAAAGCAAGTGCATAACGAGAAATTCAACCAAGCATGCAGTTATCTCACTTTTACTTTCCTGCTGCTGAAAAGGCCACAAAACGTTTTATTGACTCATACATATGCAACTCCAATGTACTAATAGTCATCTTCCTCATCGTCTGAAGTACATGTGTGTTGTGCGGTCATGGGCAAACCTACTGTTGGGGGCAGGGTCGGACCCTTGGAACCCCATGTGGTCCTCCGCCACCAAGCACTGTCCAGATACCACTGCTGCTGTTGGAAGGCAACCAAAACCCAGCGTTTGGCATTTCGCTCGGGCGTAAATAACGTCCTAACTAGCGATGTTAGGTAAAAGTGATCAGCACAGTATGTAGCCATTTCGCTTGAGCAAAATGGCGCTTCGGCACGCGTCATCGATCAAGCACAGACCGACAACCTCTGTTGTCCTTTCGCCAGGGCGAAATGGTGCCCAGCGTCTGCTCCGCGATAGTGGAGCAATGGGAAGGAGCCATTATGTTTCGCCTCAGCGAAATGTCCAAGCGGCTTATGGCGGGCCTAAAGGGAAGGTGTAATCTGATCCCCAATTCTACGAGTTCTTATGCTTGCAGGTCTCACGCTGGCGAAAAGTCACCGGGACGCAGAGCGCCGATGAGCGTTCGCTCAGCTGGGCCCACAGGTCTGGAAGGGAGAGTACGGCGTGGGGACCAAACGGGAAGACGAGAGCTGGTGGCGACCCGGGAAGGTGTTGTCCGAATTTGGCACCGATACTCGGAAAAAGGCCACGATATGCTCGGAATATGTAGTGTGAGGGTATTGATGTCCATAAAAAGCCTACGAGCGTGTATAAATAGTGCCCTTGAGGGGGTTGTAAAGGAGGAGGAATGAAACCCTAATTCTTCTGATTAAAGGTGTTTATTTCGATATTCCATGTTCCCTTCGTTCTTTCTTGTCCAAGTGTTAGCTTGAGTGTCAGCCCGGTGTTTGAAGGCTATGGCCTAGAACAACACCTACATTGATGAACAAGAAATTCAATTCATGTTTTAATTACCTAACATGAGTAGCATGGTTTCCGAAATTCAACAGTCCAGATACCACTATGTGAAAAAAGTTAATCACAGACGTCTCCCAGTATATACTAATCTTAAATCATGGCTTAGTGAAGCAAAGGTCTCACCTGCAGTTGTGCAGCAACCTTCCCCTTACCGATCTTCAGACCATTCCTCACGACCAGCACCTACAACCAAAGAAACAACAAACATAACAGTTTTGGCCTGTAAGAACTTAACAAGTATGATGGTTGATGAAAATTCTTTATTCAATCTGTAAGGAAGCTTACGTTAATGATTTTCGGCAGAATACAACTGGAGGAGCAATGGCAGCAAATATGAAAAAGCCAACGTGGAGCTGTGTAGAACCAAAGATACACGAAGTAATTAGACCTGGTTCATAGCATTTCAATGTCAAGAATGCAGAAGTCATGCCTTGATCTAGAAATCACCATGTAACAAAGGAAAAAAACATACAAAGCTCAAAGCACTGTCAGTTCTGTTAAACATGTTGGCAGAGAATTAGTACAAACCCACTAGCAGTGCCAGAAAACATAAAGCACAAGGTCTATCAAGTCATTTAAAGACAATTAACACATCTATCAGGTCGATGTAGAAACTAGACGGCTCCAACTCAATATCATCAACATTAGTATGAGAAACTGAAATTCTTAGCTAAGTGTTACTGATCAAAATTCATTTACAGGCAACACATGTAATAGGCATTTTTATACTGATCAACGAGCATAAGCAGAGTATGAAGTATTGCGCAGTAACCAAGCAAGTTCATGAGGTTCTTATGGTTCACTCTAGACAAAACAGATATCTGAAACAGGAGTGATTAATGTTCAGTAAGATGAGACACACACACAGTGAAAAACTAGTTGACTTGACTGTAGCTTTGCACATTGCATAATAACCTTGTTCTAAAATTGCTCCTCAAACCTGTCGGCCCAATCTTTGGCAATTTCTTGTAGTTAAAGAATTAATATTTTGGACACATGTTGGCAATTTCTTGTATCCTTTTTAAATCTAAATCTAAATGCTAATAATAGTTGTCATGATCTGCAATTCAACAAACGTTCATGATAAATGTGTGAGGTTGTTTTTCTACTTTTTCTAAAACTCTTGCAGCTTCCTTAGTTAAATTACAGTCAGCAACAATTAGTATTGTCAATGGACCGTGTAGGAGGCAACTTAAGTCATACGATTCAGCATTAATCCCATCCCACAGGCCACAGCTGGGTGTTCGAGTCACTAAAAGCTCATGATAAAATAAACAAGAAATCCTTCACCATGAGGAATTTAACTGCTACGAAACAAATCCATACACGCAGGAAGAAAACAGAGGGCCAAGAAAGGGAAGAGGCGCTCACCTGCCACTGGAGCTGCAGGTACCGCACGAACGGCAAAGACACGGCGGCGGCGCCACTGATGCCATTAGTCCCGCCGCAGGACACAGCGATGCCCCCTTCTAGCCTGCAGACCTGCAACCAGAGACCACAAGCTCAAGCACGACCACTCACCTGTGCGCCGTGGCCCCCTTCTAGCCCGCAGCCATGGAACAAGCCGATGCTGACGCCACGCCGTTGCCGCCACCAATGGGAAAAGAGGCGCCACCAGGCTTGATCCGCTGCCACCGAGGAAGAGGGCCGCCGCCGAGCGCGCGCCTGTACCGGATCCGCCCGCTCGTCGTCGCCTCGCGGGCTAATGAGCAGGGTTGATTCCCCTCGCGATTGGTGCCGGCGGCGGCGCGACGGAGAGCAGTGGCAACGAGCCGGCGATCCGAGGAGGACCGATGGCCCGATGGATTTCTTTTCTGTGACCTAGCCGCCCCCGACCCTTGTATTCTTGCTGCGATTTGGCTCTGCTTCGCGCCCGTGCTCCCATCCCGCACGCTTTTTGCCGCCAAATGTTGCCGCGCTCGCGACAGGCCACCTCGCGCTTCACACGTCACTAGACACAACATTTTTCATGAAATTAGTTTAATTTTATACATGCTTTATCTAAGAATTTAAAATATTAAGTGTTTATCTATTTTGGTAAATTCAGATACATGTATAACACTTAAGTAGTTAAATGCATTTATATAACACTTATAAGTATATATGTCTTATAATAAGTGCTTATTTATTTTGGTAAATTCACTTAAAATATACAATATATTTGTTAAGCCCATCTAAACAAAAACGATGCTTGACCCTATTATATTGACTTCATATATGACACTTAAACTAGAAATGTTAACTTAAGCATACGGTATACTTAAAATTACTAGGACGGAGATACACCCTATGTCACATAAATGTTAAGTTACATTCCCTTCCTGTGAAGTAAGAGACTGAGAGCCACCTAGTGACATGGAGGACTAACAGACACCTAGTGACATGGCGAGGAAGCAAGAGAAAAGCTCTGGTGGTTGTGTGATGACACGATCGTTGGGTTGTGAGGGGCTCTTGTGCTCTTCCCGCGAGAGACTCACGGAGAGAAACTCTAGTGGAATCATGAGACTTGGAGAGGTTCTTGGTGACCACCAACTTCACTCGAGTGCCCACATCGTAGTGGCTACATTCTTCACCCTCTAGCCATTCATAGATCATTTCAAGGTTTCAAAAATTTTATAAATAGTGCACTATTTTCTATAGTTTGAATGAATTTCTCCGTGCCGAATGAAACAAATTCCAAATTGAAGTGTGTGTAACCCTAATAACATTAAAAAAAATATTTGGCTTATATGGTCCATTCAATCGTTTGTGGTGGAGATAGATGAAAAAAATTAATTGATGTGCATGGATAATTCAATCTTTTATCTTTGGATTACCACAAAATTATTCTAATAATACCTAAAAGTGGTATGAGAAATCTAAAATTTACATGGAATCATAAGAGTGGTATGACCCTCTCATCTTGATATTTAGATTAGAGAGAAAAATAACCATTATGTTATGTTCATTCTTATGTTGGTCCATGCATAATAAACTTTTTTGTATTATAAGTTAACCACTAATAACAGAGAAATGATAAAAATAGACAAAAATAAGGTAATTCTAGGATTTGAACTTAGGGTCTTTTACTTGTATGCTATTAAAAAAGATGGTTTAATCGTCTATGTCCCTAAAAAATTCGATTTATTGTCAGTGTCCAAGCTCGAAAAACTTTTCTCTCTCACGCCATTCTGTCTGCCTTCTGTTTGATTTGTGCCGTTTGGCTGTCCCGACGAGTGGGGTCCGCTGTGGCAAATGACCTCAGTTGCCTTGGAGGCCGTGTTGACCAGCGCCGAGGCTGACCAGCGCCACCTTGAGCGTCGACAGCGCCAGCACGACGACGATCAGCGCCGTGGGCGGCACCAGCATCCCGACGCACCCGGCGGTCCTGAGCAGGACGCGGTACGGCCGCGGCGCGTCGGGCCGACGCACGCACAGGAGCACGAAGGCGATGAACTCGAGCAGCATGCCGAAGCAGTAGAGGAAGTTCTCGGCGGCCACGATCTCTTGGAAGCTCAACGAGGAGAGCAGCAGGACGCCCGACGCCGAGAAGAGGATGCCCACCAGCGGCGTCCCGTGCCGCGACCGCCGCGCGAAGAAGGCCGGCAGCATGCCCCGCTCCGCCATGCCCAGCAGCTGGTACGAGTCGCTGCTCATCTCCGCCACGAACATGCCCATGTTGGACAGCGCCGCCGCCGCCTGCACCCACCACATGAGCCACGCTCTGCCGAGGAGCTTGGCGAGGTCCGAGAAGTAGCCGTCGCTCCACTGGCCCCTGTCCAGCAGCACCGCACCGGTCCCGGCGAGGAGAGGGTACAGGTAGCCCACCACCACGAAGATGACCACGTAGAAGAGCGCCTTGGGCAGCGTCTTGCCCGGATTGTCCACCTCGCCGGACAGCGTGCTGATGGAGTCCCAGTAGTTGAGGTTCCAGAATAGCGTGTTGAGGTACAGGTTCCAGTCGACGTTGTGGAGGTTGACCACCAGCCACCTGGCCGGCCGGAGCCTGGGCAGCGAGATGAGCCCCATGACGAAGAAAGGCAGGATGGAGAACACCCCGAGGCATATGGTGACCCACCCGACGACGGTGAGCCCCCTGTAGTTGAGCAACGTCAGCAACGCCGTGAGTCCGAGCACCGCGAACGCCCTCGGCGGGCTGCCGCCCAGCGCCGGCACGGCGGACTTGAGGTAGTCCAAGAAGAGGACGGGGTACAGGGCATTGTCGATGACACCGCTCATCCACTTCACCCACCCCTGCTGGAATCCCCAGTAGGGGCCGAGCGCCGAGGTGACCCACACGACGTACCCGTCGTTCTCCGGGAACATGGTGCCAAGCTCCGCCGTGATCAGCGCCTCTGGGATGCTCCAGATGACGGGGAGGGCCAGGAAGCCGATGATGGCGAGGAGCGGCCCCGCCGCGCCCACGCTGTCCTCGATGCCGAACGGCCCTCCGGAGACCTCGTAGAAGATGAGGAAAACGAGCGGGGCGATGGAGACCTTGCGGAGCTCCGCCGACACCGGCACCGACCCCGCGTCCTCGCCATTGGCGTCGGGGAGGCCCCTGTACTCCGTGCTGCATTCGCCCATTGTTGGCGCCAAAAACGATCAGGTTGCCGCCCAGCAGGCAGTGGCACATGAGAAACAAAAGTTCCAGGGGCATTAGAGTATTTTGCCACCCACATTTCACACCGTTAGTGCTGCAAATAGATAGAATGATGTGAGAGAGAAAAGTTTTTCGAGCTTGAACACTGACGATAGATCGAACTTTTTAAGGACATAGACGATTAGACCATCTTTTTTAATGGCATACAAGTAAAAGACCCTTGAACTTACGACCAACCCCATTCAAACCAAGGGCGCTCACCACTTGACTACAAAGGTGTTCATGTTTGTTTTTGCATAGTAAACAATTTGTATAGTAAGTTAACATGGAATTGCAATAATATAATCATAATAAATATATATTTTGATAGAGAATTCAGTGAACCTGCATGACAACATATTTTTGGTGCATAATTATTCCAAAATGTTCAAACGATTTTAAAAAATAGTATTACACATCGTTCACAAACGGATACATCTCGGACACATTATATGTAAGTCTATGAGAGATGTTTCTATTTTTGAACAATGTATAATCCCACTTTATTAAAATAAATTGAAATTTTTCTAGAGAGTTTGTGAGAGCCATCAAGAAGGCCGGTGAGTTCGTCGTCTCGCCCTGAAGCCTTGGAGCTGCCCTGTGCCTACTATGGAGGATGGTAGCTGGAGATTGAGTCCTCGCGTCATCGTGATGTGTTGAGCTGCCAGCAACAAGAGGTCACTGCCATCCCTGCCGAGATGAAAGCACCCTAGCGGTTGTCAGCCCAAAACGATAGACCCGCTAGGTCACTATCCTGTATTTGATGCGAAGGAAAAAAAAATTAAAAAATTGAAGTTGAGCCAATTATAAATTGAACGCAAGACTCAAAACAAGAGGACCCTTGTATCATGTATTTGGTGTGTAGGAAAAAATAAAAAATGTGAAAGAAAATAAAAAAAATCGAGTCATTTTGGAATTGAACCAAGAGCGCACAGGATTAGGAAGCAATTTTTTGTCTATTTGATGCTTGTACAGATAAAACAAAAAAACATAAAGTGGTGGGTATTGAACCTAGGTGCTCAAGAACAAACTGAGCATGCCTTACAACTAAACCATGTCCTCTTTGATATAAGAACTAGGAACTAAATTTTCTCGTAACCATAATGTTTGTTGCTGGTGTTGCACGTGTCATTCTAATAGGACCTTCTCATACGAGTTTTCAGTAGGAAAATAAATTACTTAAATACTGGAAAAATCAAGAATATGAACAAAAGTTTTTCTCTTTTCAATCTACAGAGAAAATTTATAACTAGTCTTTCTTCCTCATGCTAACTCCAAATGATATATTTCTTTTTACTAGTTTTTTTCTAAATCATGATCTACCAACTGACAACATTTGTGTGGAAATTATTGTTTCTTGATTCTTTTGCATATGGCTTGTTTTTCATTTATGTATATAGAGAAAGAACCTTGTGAGCCAACCTTTAAAATGTCTTTTATATTTCAATCTTTTTTTTGCGTGAAATAGGCTACATACTTACTATTGTGTAGAAGTTTCAAAATTTTCCGAACTAATTTCCTATTTTCTATAGTTTATATGAATTTCTGTGCGTTTATCGAAAATAATTCCAAATTGAACAGCGAGTACCTCCAACAAGATTTCAGTAACATTATAAGAATTATATTTATGCTCATATAAAAAAATCACTGTTGTAATTGTTTCAATCTACACCATATCTAGATATGTATAAAAAAATCAATTGTTTGTTGGGAATAATCCATCCTTCTATATCCAAATTAACATAAAAATAACTGTTGTAATTCCAAACTTTGTTATGAAATCCTACAAACTTGCATGACAACATGTTTTTGTTG